AGAGAGAGAGAGAGAGAGAGAGAGAGAGTCAGCGGAACAGCATTATCATTGATCATATCCATGACATCACAATGACTTATGTGTTGGCCATTCAATCACTCAATAAGCCATTAGATTTTGATCTCCACTTTTAGCACAACTTTTGCCCTCATCTCTCTCTCTCTCTCTCTCTCTCTCTCTCTCTCTCTCTCTCTTTCTTTCTTTCTTTCTCTCTCTCTCTCGAAAGTCTGGTATTTGTAAACCAAAAAACATATTAATCTATATTTTTCTCTCTCTTAACCGATAAAAACAACAAATATTTTTCGTTACATAAAAAATGCATTAAAATTCAAATTTAGAAATAAATCTAAAGGTGTGACTGACTTGAATGGCATGCAATAGTATGTTAGCATAGTATACAGTGAATAGCATTTATAATGTACTAAATGGGTAAAGTGTAGTAAAGTTAGGGGTATGGGTAGGGACTGGTAGTCTAGTTTTAAGTCATTCGGCAATCATAATAATAACACATTTATTAAGCAATAGGGCGACCGAAAGGCCAGTTGTGGTGTTATTTTGTATGTATTGTATGTGTTTGTGATTTGTATGTGTATTGTGTGTTTGTAAATCAGATTTAATATTAATATAATTCAATACATTTATTATGCAATAAGGTTTTTGTGTGTGTTATTTATTTAAATGTATGTTATTTTGCTATTGTTTTAAAATTTTTGTGTTAAATCGCTTTCACTATTGATTATTGAATTTATTATATTTTCAATCATTAATTTGAAAAATGCATGATTTAAAGGTACGTATAATATGTATTAAAATTATAATTAATAAAATAATGGCTAAATTGTTAATTTGTATATATATTAATATAGTTATACGGATATTACTAACATTTATTTTAAGAATTTTTACTATACTAAATAACTATTTTATTTATCTATTTTGTGGTTAATATCTATTATAGTTATTGATAATATGAAGCAATTATAACTTTATAACAATCTTATATAATTATTCTTTAAATGATATATTTATTTGAATAAGCTATTATGATTTTATTTAAAAATTTAAGTATATTAAACATAATTATTAAACATAAAAAATAATATACAATGCAAAATATTATGAAATTATAAGTAAATTATATAAATTTTAATTAATTGGAACTATTATAATATACTTATTGTATAGAAATTGCATAAAATTATTTTAATAAAAGATTTAATTGAGCTATTAATAAAAACGTAAATAAGTAATGCTAGTTGTAAACATTTAAAAAACTGTAAATTAATTTCAATTTTGCAGAAAAATACTGATAATTAAATATTTATATTAATGAATGGGAAATATACAAAAGACTGGACTTATAGTGTTTGTTGTTTTTTAATCACTTTACATAGATGTTTATCTATTGGATTGTCACCGTATGGCAAGCTAGCACAATTATACAAAGCTCGTACGCCAGCGTAATACCAGCGGCCATAATACGCAAACACACCATCACGTACAAAGATGTGCCCGTATACAACAAACCAGTCACACCTCAAATGATCTTGGTGCCCGCGTCAATTGCCAACCTATACGTACATTTCCGGACCAAATCAAGTCAAGTACACGTACGACAACAGCACAGGGGAGCCGGTGGTCACACACAGCACAGCACATCTCAGGACGAGCCCCACTATTTGCGGCACGAGATTAAAAAACCGGTCATACAAACGGTACGGGAGGTGATTGTGCCCTATAGACAGGTCATACAAGAGATCAAACCAGTGGTCGAAGAGGTTAAGACTGTGGTGTCGGCCAAAGATCTGGTCAGAGCGCCGGCCGGTCAGGCGGTCTATCCGGCCGTATCGGGCGGTGACGGCGGCGGCGCCAAGAGCTCGATGTACATGACTTTTGGCACCAATAAACAGCCCGACTATAAAGACAACGATAATAACCAATACGTGAATAGTGTTTACAATACACACCAAAGCAATGGCAACGGTTATGGTTATGTGCTCACAGCACAGCACCCGCCAGCCTATGCTCCGGCCAGTGGTTACGCGCCAACAAGTGGTTACACCACAGGTGCTGATGGCGTCTATGGAGGCTACTATACATACCAGACATCCAGCCCTCAAACTGACACCAAAAAGTATGCCTACGATTTGAGCACAATTTACGGCATTAATCCGGCCTCACTGTCCTCATATGGCCAGCACGTGGAGGACAAACAGCCGGTGTACGAGCAGGCTGTGCCCGTTCATCACCAACCGGCACTCCCGGCCCCACAATCGGCAGTGCAAGTGCACTACCAGCCCAGTCCCATAGTGTATGGCGTGGCCGAGCCCTTACAGCAAACCACCGGCTATTCAGTCAATCAAATTCATAGTAAACCGCAAACAGAATATTCTGTTAGCAAACCGTATTCAGTGGTGAGTCATAGCGGCGGCAGTGGCGACGCCAATGGTTATCATCCTGTTAATGATTATGGTAAAAATGCACCGGTATATGGCTACGCAACTGATGTCGGTGCTGGTGGCAGTTCAGCCGGTTTACAGCAACATCAGGCACACAGTCCGCAATACACGCCGGTGTCTGACGACGCCTATTACGGCCAGAGCTATAACTATGTGCCCCAAAGTGAACAGCATTATTACGTAAATCACGTCAAAAACACGGTATCCGACAATAATTATTACGCCCAACCGGCGGGTGGATTGACGTACGCACAGCCGGCGAGTGGACTGACGTACGCACAGACGCCTAGTGAAGGTGTGTCCGCCGCCCCCGTCAGTGGTTACGATAGAGACGCTCATTACGTGACATTGGATTTGGTAAACACCGGCTATCATACAGATCACGGCTACGCTCAAGACTTGGCCACCAGCGATGAATACGGCCACCAATTGGACTATCAGGGTAACGGGGCTGGGCATGGTACATTGTATGGTCAGTATGCCCAGGATCAATTGTCAAAGGCTACCAGTTTAGGTTCGTTGGCACAGATTGTATCGGCTCTACAGCAGCAACAACATCATTATGACGGCTATGCGTACGCCAATTCACAACAACCGTTACAAACTTATAAAGACGCCGCCGCGTAACGATATATGCGGATTAAATTAATTAAATTAATTTTATAATAACTGTAGTTTCCGTTTTTCTGAAATTTTTAAATTAAATATAATTTTTTGATAAATTTTGTTTGTATTGTATTAACAATTGAATATTTATTAATCAATTAACAGCACATGTATTAAAAATTATTAAATAAAATAACTAATGAATGTGTTTTAAAATAAATTATAATTATTATAGTGTTCATATATCAATATATAAAATTAAATCATACAAATAAACTATGTAAACGTATATGATCGTTTTGAGTTGCGAAAACTGTAGCACATGCACGCGATAAAGGCACACGCACCAAGTGTCAACAAGCCAAATATAACAATCAAACAAATGGCCCAGACCGGAAAATGGCATTTGTAGCTACCATAGGGGTAGTCGGAGCACATGGCCTCTGTATACTGTTTATTCTGGTCGTCCAGAAAGCGTTTAATCCTGTTATACGTGATTCGGTCGCACTTATTATACACGGCGTCCAAAAGGCAGTCATTGATGTCCCACGTCGTACAACAGCCCGCCTTATCCCTATTCCCGGTGTTCGCCCACTCCTCCACCACATCCCGTACGCACCCGGACTTATCCGACTCTATCCGGCGCTCGCATACCGTGTCAATGATAATGTAGTTGATTTTTAACCGCTCCAGATATTCAACGAGGTACTCATTAGCATCCTTTTTATCATCGCTCTTGGTGTTTATGGCTGTAAATATAGTCATGTTTATCACAATTATTAGCCACAAATAGTGATGGAGATTTTGTAACCAGATCATTTTATTGGTGATATGTTTAGCAGTAGCAAAAATGTTAGTTTATTTATTTAATTTCACTTGTTTTGGTTACATTTTAGTAGTGAAAGTGTGTTTCTAATCCGTTTTCAATTGTGTTTTATCGGTGTAATAGTGCCGTTGTTATGAGTGCGATAGTGTAGTTATAAAAGTATTTTAATTTAAACCATATCGTGTTAAATACAGTTATAATTTTGCTATTTATTTACTTTTATATTTGTTGTCATCGCTAATATCAATTTGCGATAACAGCTTTTGTCACCACTTTTAATAATCATTAATAATCTAAAATTTGTAAGTTTTATTAATAATTACCCAATATTATAAATCTATAACTTTCCACATGCATCATTTGTGACGTTTATTATAATTTTAATAACAATTAACGAAAATTTAATTTCAATTGTAATATCTCAATATCTAACAAATAATTTAGAAAATACATTGTAGCAATTTTGACCTTGTAGAATATTGGGCTTTCCATTACATTAATAGGCAATAAAACATAATATTCTCCACAAAAATTGACTTTTTATGTTCTATTAAAAACATTAATATTATTGAAATTTAATTTAATTTATTATTATTATTATTGTTTTATATTAAAATAATAAATAATTGAACAATTTATACTCAAGCGACAACTCTATTTATAATCAGTTTATTGTATATAGTTTATTGTATACTGTATAATGTATTATTTAATTGTTATTATCATGAATATAATGAATATGAAAATGTGTCCAACTTTTTTTAGGAGAGTTTTAATACTCTTGTTTACAATAAAAAATATACACTTTTCTTAATTGAATGTTTTATTACGGTAATTAAGTAATTTATTAGCTTTGAGACTTTTTTATTTTATTTTAAATGCGTTTATTAATGGGCATTTATTTGATGTTTTAGATATTAAAATTTAAAAAAACACAATTTAAAAAATAATAATTTTTTAATTGAATAATGCACCATAATCTAAGTAAAATAATTTTATTTTAAAAATTAATTTTTTATTGATTATGCGTGATTAATTAAAAAATATAACTGACCAAAATAAAATTACATTAGAGGATTAAACAAAACATTTAAGCTTAAACAGGTAAAATGTGCAGTATATAATTTTTATTTTTATAATTGTTAATGGGCATATACTCAAGTATATAAATAGGATTATAGTTGCAATAATTGCTAAAATTGTTCACTTTGTGTTTTATTTGTATACCTAATCCGCGGTTTAAACATTTATCAAACTTATAATGTCTTCGAACGGCATTTCTAACGGCGAAGATGTAGTGATTACGGGAATGTCGGGTCGGTTCCCCCTCTCAGACACTACCGATGAGTTCGCAAAGAATCTGTTCTCAGGCGTGGATATGGTTACCGAAGATGACAGTCGATGGCCATTAGGTTTGCATATTTTATTTGTTTTAATACAGTTATTATTTGATAATAATCTTGAAATAAATAGTTTTAATTATATGAATTAATAATCAAGTATAATTAGAATATTCAATCTAAATTAACAAATTAATTAAATAAATGTCAAAAATAAATGCTTAAGGTACTTACAATATGTCGGGTCGGATGGGCAAGATTCAAAACTATAAACAATTTGATTCGACATTTTTTGGTCTAAATGAGCAGTTGGTGGAAGAGCTCGACCCCCAGTCCCGTATGCTAGTGGAGGCCACGTACGAGGCTATGCTCGACGCCGGTATGTACTGTACGGTCATAACATCAAAAGAGATCATATTATTGCTAAAACAGATTAATTTACTGTTGATATGAAATTGTATAGTTTTAACTTTGATTGACATAGTTAATTAAATAGAGAATTATTCTATATAATTTATTGATTTTGAAGTATGTATTATTAAATTTTCAACACTTTTATATGAAAATATTTTTAACACAATTTGCGTAAGACATGTATTACATAAATGTGCTAGATCTGATCTATACGATAGATGTACTGTTAGTGTGACCATCTTTAGGTTTAAGAATAGAGATCATTTGATCAAATTTCTTTTAAAATAGAGAACACATCTTTTATGTTAATTTTTCTTCTAGATGAAAAATTGAGATTATTTAATAACAATGTTGTAGTAAACTTTATTGTGTGTCAAATCTTTCAATCTTTCAATTATTGTATAGATAAATAAATATTTAATAAATTTAGTAAAATTCTTATCATTTATTATAAAATTAAAAAAGAGAACAGTTCTCTATTTTGTTTAAATACAGGTCCCACTAAAGAACTGTTCTCTGAAATAGAGCACAGGTGGTCACTCTATGTATTGTACTTAACAATTGCTAAATAATATAATATATTCACATTTTGTAGGCGTAAATCCACAGGACATGCGGGGCTCAAACACCGGCGTCTATTTGGGTGTCTCGGCGTACACTATGAACGATGGGTATATGGAAGACGGACAGCCGGACCTGCGCGAGAACATGCAGGAAGCCATGACTCACTCCATTGCTAACATGAAAAGTCTGTTTGCGAACCGCATATCGTATGTGAATGACTTCAAGGGTCCGTCGATGGCTGTGGACACCGCCTGTTCGGCCAGTCTCACGGCCCTCACACTGGCCTATAACGACTTGTTGTTGGGTTAGTTTAAAATTACATTTTAATATATCAAAATTACAATAATAATATAATTATATTAATTATATTATATTAATTATATTATATTAATTAAACTTAATAATTAATATAAATATAAATCAAGATTTGTTTTATAATAACAAACAGGTAATACGGATGCGGCGATAGTGTGTGGCACTCATATGGTGTTCGAGCCGTTCATCAATCAGTATCAACAGGAGTTGGGAATGTGTTCGCCGAGAGGTGTGTCCGCAGTATTTGACGAGTCGGCCGACGGTTACGTCAAGTCGGAGGCCGTTTGCTGTCTGTTTCTGCAGCGCCGTCGAGAGGCCCGACGTGTGTACGCACAGGTCGTGTCCGCGCGAGTGAATGTCGACGGGTATAAAAAGATGGGACTGTTTTTCCCTTCCGCGGAATCTCAAGCAGAACTCATGCGAAAGACCTGTAAGGCTGCGAAAGTTGACCCGACACAAGTGACTTATGTTGAAACACACGGAACAGCCACCAAGGTAGGATCACAATATTTATATTTCATAAAGGAACAAGGTTCAAATATAGAATACAGTTGTATAAATATAATAATGCACAATTTAATGTAATTACTATAAATTGCAGGCGGGAGATCCTATAGAGGTGAAAGCGATATACAACGCGTACTGTGAGGGCCGGACTGAGCCCTTGCCGTTGGGGGCGTTGAAGAGCAATATGGGTCACTCGGAGGGCGGCTCTGGGGTCTCAGCATTAGTGAAAGTGATGATCGCTTACGAGAATGAATGCATTCCTCCGAACCTAAACTTCAATAAATTGAAAGAAGAATTAAAGAGATTTTTTCCACCACTACTGGCAATCAATGAGAAGTATTCATATAAACCTGGTAATATTTATATTTTCTATATTATAATTAAATACAATGATCAATAATTATTTAAAATGACCAGGTTTAGCGGCGGTAAATAACTTTGGTATAGGGGGTGCGAACGCACACGTATTGCTCAAACCGAACCATAAGTTGGGAACGAGTGATGGCTTTCTAATCGCGGAAACGATTCCCAGAATTGTAAACATTTGCGGCCGAACTGAAGATGCGGTCAAATATGTGATGGATTTCATACAAAACAACCCAAAGAGAGTGACGAATGACTTTTTGGCACTTTTGGCAAACACTATGAAATACACGCCTAATGTTAACTCATCGGGAATGCCGTTCAGAGGTTTGACTGTAAAGTAAATAATTTAAATTAAAAAGTATTCGCATTTTAGGTTCACTTATAATAAAGAAAGTTTTGGAAGAAAACAATAAAATGAAATATGAATACAAGAGACAAATGGGAGTAATGAAAGAGAAAAGTGTGAGACCTCTATGGCTACTGTTCCCGGGTTTGGGTGGACAATGGCCGGCAATGGCTAAGGCTTTGATGCCAATCAAGATATTCGCCGACAAAGTGGAAGAATGCCATCAAATACTACACGAATTCGGTGTCGATTTGAAACACATGTTGTTATCAGAAGACAAGACATCGATGTCTACAATGACTGCAAAGTTCTGTTCGACGACTGCTATAGAGA